ACTCTACGACGTCTCCGAGCCATAGCCGGACGAAGGAAAATCTCCTTCTATCCCTCTGTCTCCCATCATATGTTCGTGCTGTGCCTCCGGCTCTCATATGTCGTCATGCGGGAAAGCAATGTTGAAAGCCTGCGCCGTGGCTCCGACGGCTTCTAGTCAACCTTTGCGTTGGCTAGGCTCTTAGCTCCCGGTGTGTGGATCATGTTAACTTGCTTCATAGGCCTCTTATACTTGCTCTGCTTCCGCAATCGTTTGCGAGCCACCATGACGGGTACAGAGCTCTTGGTAACCAAGTAGTTGGAGAATGATCCTAGAATGACACTGTTCAAGCTGTTAGCGCAACTCTTTGTTTCCCGCCGTATGTGGACAACTCACCCCTTCAATGCGCTGCGGCCACGGCTGCCAAGAATCACCAAAGTAGGGTTTACCAGATCAATGATCTCAGTGATCAGGTGCTTCGGGTTCTTGCAGTGGAGGACCTCGACTATGACCCGCACCTGCAACCGCGTCTTTCGGAGAAGCTTGGTGACCCGTTCCGTAATGTCGTTGATTGCCCTTAGCCGCTCCTCTTCGGCCCTATCGCGCTCACGGCTTGATGGAGCAGGCGACGGCGTTCCGTTCTCACTACTCAACGCAGACGCTCGGGCTAGATGTGGGAACGACGGAGCCGATGAAGTCGGAGGCGGCGTCCTCGAGTTAGAGACGGCGTTGATGGCGGCCGCCTGCTCTCTGTGTGCCTTGGGGTCGTCTGGTACCATGACATCCTCCGTGGAGTAGATTCCCGTCTCCTCATCCACGCAGTACATGCAGATGAGGGTGTCGCCATCTCTCAGAACCGTGCCAATTGCCCATTCCAGGGCATGGGTCGACTCATCGCTCAGATCGGTGGCCACCAAGTACTTTCTCAACCTGTGGTGCTCCTCCTCAGCCTGCTTTTGGATCGTCTCCCATTCTCCACGGTAGAAAGTTAGGAGCGTCCGAGAAAACTCGCTCTGGTTCCGCACGTCTTGGTATCGGAAGGCTAGTCTTTGCGCTCTCTTGATATCCGTAAGCGCCTCCTCATCGTCAGAGTTGACTGCAGAAGCGGGTCCTGAGCCTGGCCCTTGGTCAAACGCCGTAGTAGGATGTACGCCTGGCTTTGATGGCTTGGCCTTCTCGCCTGTGGGTGTTGTAAGGGTGATTTGCGGGTCGTCCAACAACGACTTGTACTGGTACTGTGGCTGCGAACTGACGTCGATGCCTACAACTAGTCAGCATCGTAAAGGCATTCACGGAGAAAACTACTTACGCTCTTCTTCGGCAGCTGCCAGCAGACTCAATGTCTTGCGATCGCCCTTGTCGCCTGCGGGAGACTTGCCACTGTGGTCTGCAGCACGGGGTGCCATCTTGCGTCCTCTCTGCTCTTCATCCGAATAACTGCCCTCATCATCGCTGCTCTCCTCCAATGGCTCGCCGTCAGGGCTGAGGTAGTCTTTGACCATTCGTCCTCCATTGCGCTCAATGGCGCTCGAGTGCTTGCGCGCCGCCAGCTCTCCCAGGTCGCCTCCCTTGAACGCTAGGTTGGCATCGGACAGCTTACGGTAGGCGGTGGTGATGTCGACTACCCTGCCGTCGTCAAGAACAGCGGTTCCGGGAATCTGCTGGAATCGACCACTGACGTTGGGAGAAGGAGATCGCATGCCAAATCGGCCGTGGGGAGACTTGGACTTGCTGTTGTGACCTCTACTCGAGCTCCTGGCGTTCCTGGGAACGGGATTCGACGCAATAGAGCTGTGACGGGCTCTGTCGCCGGGAAGAACGATGCCGGGTATTTCGTTGCCACGCATGACATCGGCCATAGCAGACGGCTTCTTTACAGTCTGGGTGGTACGCTTGGGCATAGCTTGTCCGAGGTTGTTCGTAGCAATGTCGGAGAACTGGTAGTCCATGGTAGGATTCAGCCTGTTGGCGGGCGCCCGCGGCCCAAAGCTGGGTTTCGGGCCCGCAGAGTCGGAAAAGGTCCTGGGATGAGGTGCGCGAGATTCTACGGGGGAACTAGGGCCAGCGCTGGCAGCCTGTTTGGGCGCAGATGTGTCGATGTCGAGCATGCTCCTGACTGGTGCGGGAGGGACATCAATGTCCAGCATACTGCGGACAGGCAAGACAGTCGTCCTGGCCGAGCTTTTCTTGACCCCATCGTCGCCAATATCCAGCATGCTCCTCACGGGAGAACGGGGCGAGGTATAGGGCGACGGCGAGCGCGCAGAGACTGGAGAGGTTGCCTTCCAGCTGGGTCGGGCGGCGCTGCCCTCAAGCAGAGCCAGGACATCCCGTCTCTCCTCGTCCAGCATGGCCTCCATGCTCATGGGTTGGCGCGACATCTTGGTTGACGTCTAGGGGTGTGTTGCGGTTTCGGCGGTGGTTGCGGATTGGGTGGAGACGAACGGACTCCTTGGTCGTGTCGCCTGGGCGGTAGAAGAGCGTTGATAATTCGTTCGAGTGATGGTGTTGTCGGTATCAGGTACTGGTAATCGAATACAGGTGTTTGGTGTTGTCGCAGTGTACGTGGGGAGTGGTAGATCTAACGGGGGATGATCTTGCGATGTTGACGTGGGCGGTGCAAGTTGGACGGCAGAAACAGCATCGTGTAGTGGAAAGGAAGCGAGTCGGCGGAGGCTTTCTAGATCATGGCTTCGGGGGACCAGATCTGAAGAGTGACGAGGTTGCGCTGAGCGGAGGCCTACTTTAGCTTCTGAAGCACGAGTCCGACTTGCCAAGACCAACGGTTGAGGTGAGAAACAGGAAAGTGTAGGAGGCAATCTAGGCGAGTTGGGTGAAGGAGAAAGATGAAGGAAAGCAGGCGCACAATGCAGTTGGTAGCAGTGGTGGTGGACGACTAGACGGGGGAGCAATCCAATCCGGTGGCAGTAGGCGGTAACCTTAGACCTTAGGTGCAGCACCCACTGAAAGGGAGGGAGGGTGCCGGTGGAGTAAGGTACCTAGCCAGACCAGTGGGCGCGGGCGCGGGCGCGGACGGGCAGGCAGCGAACCTACCTTTGACACTGTGGAGGGGTAGGTAGGTGCTCGTGCTCGTGCTGGTCCAGCGGCTGCAGTGAACCACAGTGCCTGAATTAAGTGCCCGCCCGGGGCTGGGCCTGGTGCCCGTTTGGTGGGTGGTCATTTGGCCGCCGCACCTTCCTCCACAGCAATGGACGTCGATGGGGCCATGGCTACCTTATCCCATCTCCAGTTCCAGCCCAGCCCCGTAGTTGGGCCCTTTGAGAGGAGAAGAGTGGAGGGACCCGAGTGGCTCTTTCGCTTCTTCCCCAGAGCTGAAGAAGATCTGCTACTCTTGCTACCTAGCGCCCGATGCCTCTGCCCTGAGAAAGAGATGCGAAGCTGTCGGGCCGCTTCGTCATCTCCGTCTTGGGTGCTGGTGGTACCTGCCCCCTCTGGAAACCCGGTGAGATAATCTCCTCTTGGTCGATGAAAAGACGGGATGACCTGGGCGTTCGCACGACGACGACAAACGCCAGAGAGCTGCATCCCGGGCTGCCTCCACGTCTCAAACTCAATCCAAAGATGGGATGCTCCTCACGCGGTTCGCCCCAACTTTGGTCTGCTGACTGACAGGAAAGAAGGCCAACGACGGCACCACGAATATGCAAAACGTCCAAAGTGTGCATGCTCGCTCGGCCACTCAGCCGCCTCGCACTTGTCTGTCAAATGGAAACCGCCGTGGAAGCCTCCGCACCGCTGAATACGTACCCGAACTCGTGTGCTCGAAAACAGAAGGGGAAGAAAAAGCAACGCGCAAACAGCTCAGATAGAGGACCACTTACGCTATGTCTCGTACATCGACTGAGGGTGGTGACTGCTTTCGTTTCAGACGCCGTATGATTTTGCGAAAGGACTACTGAGGAAGGAAGATTGAGAGAAAGAAACAGAGACTCTTTTAGAGATTTCCCGGGATACCTACAGAGGTCAACACCCGGGATCAACCCCTCGGTTAACAACAGAAAAACATCCAAGATGCAACGATTCAATCATTCGACACCGCCACACACGTGTAGCTATCTGTGGGAGATCCGCAATCCGCCTCCGACCGCAGGAAACCCAGAGTCGGTGACGGTGACGCATTCCCATTTTACCCACCGCATTCAATTTTTGCCCTTCCTCGTGCTAATATTGGCCTGGGAGGGCGCCTTACACAACCCACGAGATCCCACAACCCTTGCCCGCGGCCCCCGTTCCGCTGGTGTAAGCGTGGGCCCTTCCCAGCAACCTCATTCTCGTCCTCCGTGCTTTACCGGCCACTGGCGGAGAAGGGCATGGGACAACCCGAAAGAGAGAATAAAAAAACAAAGCACACTTTCCATCCCATCCTATCCCATCCTGATGACCATGGCCAGGAGACCACAGTGCGCAGCCAACAGTGCGATGACGACGCCGGCGTGCATTGCCAAGAACACCCGGCGTCTCTTGGCGACGTGCTGTACACCGTGTACGGTTGCTGACAAGCCGGCCCATCGGAACAGAACAGACAGCAAAGAGTGGTACACACGGCCGCCGGGAGTTGGGAAGCGGCGGCGCTTTTGAAGAGGAGGACGAGTCGGCGGCCGCCGTTGTCATTAACGTCAGCGAAACCTAATGATTCCTGTCTTTTTTGGCTTCGGGCGGGAGGCGGCGCAGTGCTGTCGTCACATGAGACTGCTCAGCACCTTTGCGGCCCTGGGTAAGCTGGAAGAGGGTGGTGGCTGAGCCGTTGGAGCTTCTCAACCTGTTGTCGGCGAAGCCAGCCGTGGATTACTGCCGGCATATAGAGTTTGAGAATTGTCGAGTGAACTGCGTATCTAAGAAACCGTCCATTTATCTTGGTATGAGGCGCCAATACGATATGATTGAGGCTCCAGCCAGCAATTGAGCCTCCCGGTGGGAGCTGAGCGAAACCGCTGGACAACGGAGCTGATCCCGGACTTTTCAATGTTTATTCTCCATCCTTGTGAGTCCATCGAGGCACGATGGCAGCCGCACCTTTGGTGCGCTCGGCATACCTGGCCCACAACGTGTAAGTCTGGCATCACCGATGAAATTACCATTGACGATTCTGCACAGCCTCATATCCGCCGTACGAATCGTGGTTCTCTGCGCAGCTCACGACCGGGCTCTGGTCAAGTGGACCTGGCCAGAATCACTGCCGTCATTTTTCCCCTTTTTGGCATCATGCTCCTTACGAGCCCTGGCATTTGCTTCCTTTTGTCAAATGATATAGTACAATATACAGCTTTGCTACATAGGGTTCCCCGTCTTCCGTCTCGACTCTACTTTCTGCCCTTGGCGCTGACCGGCTTCACATTCAAGTTGGCACGGGTCGCCGTGCCGAGCTTGTGCAGCCCAAGGCGCTTCTCCCACACGGGCGACCGTCCCTCGACGACGGCAATGATCTCCTCTGCCAGCCTGTGCGCGAACTGGGTTCGGCCGGAGCCCTTGGACGGCTTCTTGTTGACGACGTCCAGGATCCAAGCGAACGCCGCACGTCTCCTCTGACGGACCGCGAGCGGTGCGGGAAGTTCGAGGGGACGACCACCACCGGCACCACCCGGAATGCGACGGATCTTGATCAAGGGCGCGACCGAGTCGACGGCTAGGGTGATGTATAGCACGGGGTTCAACGGGAGGTGCGGCGCCGGCGGCGCGCCGGGGAGGAGCGGGAATCGGGGGTTGAGAATCGGGGGAGGGGATTGTCGGAGGAAGTTGAGGACCATGGCCATGTTCTATCGCACCCCCGTTAGCATACCAACCACCAGAAATATTCCTAGGATGACCTCACTCTTTGTGCCAGAGACTTCTTTCCATCTCTCATCATAAGGTTCGTCAATTGGTCAATCATCGGGTGGTACCGCGACTTGAGATGGCTGTGCGGCGGCAGAGGCAGTACCGGCAGCGGGAACTTGTGTCCCACATGCGCCGCAGGCTTAGGCTTGCTGATTTCCAGCCGGTTGGTCTCCTCCAAATCCGCGACAATGCCTCCGGAGGCAAGAATCTCGAGTTGGCGCTGGGGGTCGCCGTTCGCATTCTGCGGGGGAATAGCGCCCTCCTCATACAGCGCATCCATCTGGGCCTCCGTCAGGCCACCGGGGATTTCTGTGGGCGCCGCCGCCTTGGCGAGCTCTTCGCGCGCGGCAGCCGCTTCCTCTGGTGACCATTGCTCTTCCGGCTTCTCCTCCGCCTGTTGCTCTCTCCATTAGCTTCCTGTCCCCACGTTCGTCTCCAAGCTTCGTGTGCACCGTACCTGCTGTCCTGCCGCAGACTGGGCATTGACCGCCGTGGAGGCCGATACCGGGGGAACCTCAGATGCAGCAGCGGCGTCTGGTTTTCTCAACGGCGGGATCTGGCTGGGCTCGTCCGCATATCCTCGTCTCGTGGTGGCCCAGGCGAAGGGTTCCTGCCGAGGGGCGGCGGCCAGCGGCCGGGAGCGCAGCGCGAGCGCCCTGCAAGCGGTTCGGAAGCTCGGCCGCAGAGACATGGTCGGCTCTGGTTTTCTCTTCGGGTCGGCCGCGGGCGGGGTGGGTTTGACGGTCGTCAATCGTCGGTCGTCTCGTTGAGTATATCTCACAGCCAAGCCAGTGTTCACAAAAATTATTGAACCGCGCGGGTCTTGCCGCTCCACTCACGACGTGCGCTGCTTACCTACGCTTGGTGCATGTCGTTGCACGGTCCACGTCTAGTTTCCTAGGGCGGATGGAAGCTGGGTGTCGGGGATAGGTAATTCCGCGAACCGTCTTAGAAGTGGAGTCCCGTCCAGACGAGTGGCCAGGCCCGCCGTTCCCGTCTTCTCAAGCTTGGGCCACCGTGCCCCGCAACCCCGTCTGCCCCCGGTCAAATCGGGGCAGGGCCGTGCCGTCACCGGCATCCTCCACCTCGGCCATTACCTAAGCCGACCTAAGCCCACGTCCCGGTCAGACCAGGCCACCTCAGGAACCGAGATGCTACACTGCAGTCGGCATGTCTTCATCACTGATCACATTCATCACATCCGAACCGAGAGTCCAGAAAAAGTGGCTTGCAGAGAGAGAGACACCACGCTCAGTCACGCAGACGGGAAGAATATCCCCTCCTCCCTCGAAACAGACGCCTGCAGCTACCTACCTAGCTTACTAGCTCTCTCTTCCTCTCTCGGCCAGATTCAAAATACCTCGAGAATAAAAGCGACAGCAGCCCATTCAAAACACCCTGCGCCAACCAACATCAATCCCACACCACATGTCTTGAACAACCCTTTCCCCGCTTCTCTTGTCTGATGCTCCCTTGGGTGGTGTAGTGTAGTGTTCTGACAGGCTGGCTCGTCACTTGCATGTGCTGTCTCGTCGACATCCCACATGTTGCATGTGTAAGGAGGCAGGCAAAGCACACAAGGCAGCAAGCCGTCAAAAAGCCAATCCGATCCAAGCAAATCAGTCCTCAAGCCGCAGACCCAAAAAGTGAACCCACGCCCGCGCCGCCGCCGCAAGCCCACCTCGAAGTCCTTGGCCCTCGCCTGCCTCACCGGTGGCCCCCAACTGTCAACCAAAAAGGCAGACCATCCAGATTCCCCCCTCTCCCCGATCTCGCCAATATGACGCCCATCATTAATTCGACCTATCTCAATCGCGAATCCCGCCCGCAATGTCGCACCACGCAAAGACAAGCCGAAGGAACACACAACGCCCCCCCTCATGCACAACAACCTCTTCCCCGTCGTTCCGCGTTCCCCCTCTCCCCTCCTATCAACCAACCCCTCGCAGCATCTTGACCGAATAGGTAGGGGGCTTGCTGCCCATCCGTCGATGAGAGAGCGTGATCAACGACTGCTGCTGCCACGGCTGCAGCAGGATGTGTGCAGACCTTCATGCAGGTGATGGGCAGCAGTAATTCAGCCGTCATCACTTTTTTTTCTTACCTGCCTATCAACTTTGCTTTTTGGCCATGGGGTTTTTGTGATTTTCTGCTCATGTTGTAACGTTTCCCTTGTCTCCAAAGGGGGAAAAAAGAGCTAACAATACTACTGCTTCTGACCAACAAGATTTGTTCCCTTTTTCTTCTTAAACCCGACGAAGATCCCCGGATTGACATTCCCATGCCGGCCCTACGCTAGCCAAGCTAAAAAGCAGCTGATTCAGCTCAACACACTATGCTCTCTCAAACCCACACGGCTCGCTGGGCTGGCTGGACTGGATTTTTGGACTTTGGCACTTTGGGTACTTGCTGACAGCACTGCAACCTGGACGGACGGGCTGGGCTGGGCGGAGGGGCGTGGGATCTACCGCCGTCCCGTTGCTAGCAGACTCCCTAGCTCCGTCCCTCCGTCCTGCCAAGGGGGGGTGGGTGTTCATTCACTCACTCACTCAATCTCTCTCTCTCTCTCTCGCTCAATGCGCCGAACGCCGCTTCCACCTCCTGCATTGGTGATAGTAGCACCAGAAGATGTCATCGTGGGGGGGGGGTCAGCGTTGGTCTGCGCTCAAGCAGAGATGCCTCTCGCCCTGGCTATGCCAATCGACACGCCCCCTTCAGTTGCCCTTTTTAATCCCCTAAAGTTCTCCAGCCGCGTCGGGTAAGCATACCGTCATCCCACAAGCCACCTCACCAGTTCGATTTTGCAGGAGGCGCCCTTACGAGAAAATAAAACGAAAGCTTCCATGGTTTGTTCCGTGATAACGGCGGGAAATCCGAGGTTCTATGCAGATGCAGGTTGCAGTGGGAAGAAGTGGATACCGAGCACTCTCAAGCAGAAGCAGTGCGAGGATGATAAAAAGAAACAAACCAAGAAAAAAGGACTGAATTCCCCCTTGTTGGTTCTCACGAGACATTGCAATTGAGAAAAAAAGGCATGGCTGCCAACTCGATCGACATGAATCTTTTTTAGCTTTCAATTCCCACTATCATCCCCCTTGTTCCCCATGGCATAGTTGCTTTTCTCCAATAACGCCGCTCCCAAGGTAAGGAAAAAATAAAATTTTCCAAATTGCAACACACAAATTACTAGCAAGGGCATCAAGCGCCTCATAGCACCCGAACCCTCGCTCCTGCTCTCCTGTCCCAAAAAAGTCGCCCTAGTGACCGTCGACTGTCTGCCGGTCCTGTTTCGCCAAGGTTCTGTCTCGTGTCGGAGTTTCTTCTCCAAAGTCCCTGTTCCAAAGAAATAAGATAAAGAGGTGGGGGGCGGGCGAGAAAAGAAAAGAAAACGGAAGGAAGATTGAGACTCGATGACGATGCAGAGAGGAGAAACAGGCCCTGCATGCCCGCTAAATCTCCCCCTTCCCTCTTTCTCGTGTTGGCCTTCTCAAGACTGTGATTTTGCGCCGGTCCTCTCTTTCCCGATCAGCGCAACACCTGGTGATGTTTCCGTGTCGGGGGCCCCAATTGAGTGTTGGTAGAAATGTAAGTTGTACGCCGATATCCATGGTGTTCCCTTTCTGCCGTGTGGCAATGGCCGGTGTCTCCCAATCCTAACTCCGGGTGTATTCGTACAAGTGAACAGCAGAATAATGGATCGGGGGAAGCAAGAAAACAATTGTGTCGGAGAAAAAAGACAAGACGTGAGTGTGTCGTGTGTTGTGCGCCGCTCGACGGTGGGATGCTCGCTCGTTATGGTGTCGTTTCGCTGCCCAGAAGGTTTTCGGTATTACTCCCGCACGCCTTTTTCTTCCCCATCCCATGCTGCCGAAAGCTCACCAGCTTCCTCTGCTGTTGGCTGGCGAGCTGGGGTTCGATCCAGTGAGGTAGTTGAGTGCCATTTCGGCGGCGTCTTCTTTCGCATTGTTGAGGTTCTTGCCGTCGTACCAAAATCGTGCGGAGAGGGTGCGTCCGTGGACGGTGACTCGGCTGGACCAGGCGGTACGGCCGCCTGTGACGAGGGGGACGAACCGTTAGTTACACCGACGGACGACAAGTGCGTGTGCGCTTTTTCTCTCGGGGGACAGAGCTTACCACGTCGATCAGAAACGATCTGGAATACCGGTGGGAGAATGTTTGCCTCGCGGCAGGCGTCTACGAGTCCCTGGCTTTAGCTTCATGATGCTTTTCTTTGGTGGGATGTGGTGGTGCCCTACCTTCCAGACGCTCCTGCCATGTTCCCGCTTGACTGTTGTACGAGGAGGCAGACATGGTGGCGGTGGACGAGTAAGAAGCGTTGGAGTACATGTAGTGTAACGTTGAAGGAACAATGGGAAAGCTCTCAGGTCCCTAAGGGTTGTTTGTCGAAGTGGTAGTGGTGGGTGCTTTGATGTGATGTGTGTGTTTGAGTCGGTTGGAATCGTAGTTATCTCGAGGAAATCTAAAGCGGAACTCGGTCGATCTTATACTCGGTTCCAGCTAGGCCGTGATACAGATGGGGATATTCCCATTGGGGTGGAAAGATTATGATGTGGCAGAACAAGATTAGCTAGATGCCGTCTGGAGAGGCAAGGAATTGTTTGCACAACAAATAGTAGACGACGGGGAGGACGGGTAAGGGATCAGTTGGGCTGGTACCCTACGGCATGCTGCATCTTGGGATGGGTAGAGGTGGGAGAAGAAAAGGAAAAAGAAGAGGAAACGGGCATGATCCAAAGAAGTAACGACACAACATCACGTCCCAATGCCGTTTGGGTTTGGTACGGCAGGACCGCGTCGTTTCCTGTGTCGTTTCTTTTTCTCCATGCCCTGGTACTTGTCTCTGATGAGCAGCAGCAGCAGCAGCTACGGCGGCGGCGGCGAGGAAGAGGAGGGGTGTGCCACTTGGGTGTGAGTGCTTCTGCTTCGTCTGATGCCAGACCACAGACCAGACGCGGACGTGGGGAGTGTGGTACCGTACTGGGCCGGCAGAACGTCGTGATAAACTTGGATCCTTAGCGTCATTTTTTTTTTCTCGTTATTTTTTTGTCCCTTTTTTTTTTTTTTGGTCTCGTTTCCTTCGATTTTCCCTCCCCCTTCCTTTCTCACTTTTCTTTTTTCACACCCCTCGGAGACATACCCTGGCTCCTTAACCCCCCCGCGTGGTTTAGCGGTACATGGGTGCCGACATCCATGAGTTGATGAACACGCAGCTGGGAAACATGGGCTTGGGGGGACTTGAGACAAGATGGAATAGCTCCATGTCGTAGGTAAGGTAAATGCCTCTGGAGGGAGATGGGCAATGGCCGCAGCTCTGAGCCAGCAGCTGATTGGGAATTGGCTTTGCCAGGCTCCCTTACCCGGCGCCCGGGGGGGTCCAAGGCCAAACCGAGCTGGCGTGGAGTGCCGACCCGTCGGGGTGGGAGAGGGAAATGATTGGGGAGCTTCAAGCCGCAAAGACAAGGGCCCGTACATGGAAAGACTGGGGAGGGGCGTGGGCGTGGGCGTGGGCGGACCGGACAGGCGAATGGAGGGCGACGAAGACAACGAGAGAAGGCAAAGGGCAAACGGTGGGCAAAGGCAGGGTGCGAGCTGACCAGGGGCAAGACTGGAATCTCGAGCCGAGAAAGGGAGAGAGACAGACAGAGTGAAGGTTACGGATGGCGGATGCATACAGCCTGAGCCTGGATGTACGGGCATGGAGCATCTGTATGTACGAATGGGTATTCGTACCATGTATCCGTAAGGATGTGAAGTGAGTTAGCAGTTATCTGTGTACCGAGATACAGATACCGTGCCCAGGCGTGCTACATGGTACCCCGACTTCGTGGAGATGAATGCTAGCCAGCAATGGAAGAGGCAGAGGCAGAGGCAGATGCAGGCAGGGCGAGCATGGGAGCAGCCGGCGAATGAAAAAGCGAGTGGGCGCACAAGGAAAGGGAGTATGGATAAGAAAAGCAACGAGGCTGGCACTCTGGAAGGGCTGGCTGGGTGCGATGGGCTGCGATGGCACCACGGCCACGCATCCAACGCTTCGACCAAACCCATGCTATTCGAAGCCAGGGCTGGCATGTCATGGCACTTGGCCCGGTACATACGTAAGGTAAGGAAGATCAGGTACGGGGAATCGGGATGCAAGTGGTAAGTTAGGTGAGATGAGGTAGGGCAAGGCAGGGTCTCGACAACCATAACAAGAATAGCATTGACATCAGACAACGCACCAGTTACAATTGGGCAATCGAGCTAGCAGGAGGAGGGCGGCGGACAATTCTGGGCATGAGAGTTTGAGAGAGAGAGGAACAAGGAGCACTGGGCACTCACGCACGCGCCGGGCAGCAGAATCCATCCACAGCACAGCATAGCTTTGAGCTTTAGCTAAGGTATGTAGCAACTGTGTGTACTTGACGAGGTGCGCAGTAAGTAAGTGGTACGCACTACGCAGGAATGGGTTTCTGTCTGGGGGTTTGGGCTAATAACGCCGGGACCCCTCAGCGGCGGCATCAACTCCGCCAGCCGGTGAAGCGAAACGGGCCGGGGTGGTAGTGCTAAGCAGGCGGTGGTTGGGTAGGGTAATGGTGTCGCCTCCATAATCTGGCAGTTGAAGGAAACTCGGTCAAGAAGATTTGGGCCTCATCGAGACCATCCTCACGAAGATGGACTGACGTTGTTAAAGTATGTCACTCTTGGGCAGGGGAGAAGGCGAGAAAAGGCCGTCGAGCCACGTCGATTCGATGCGATGCGGCAGGAAAGGGCGGGGGGCAGAAGGCCACAGGCAAGTGATGCATGTACCACGATACTGAAGTGGTTTAGAGCGTGAGGGGAGAGGGGGCAGCGAAAGGGGGTGGGATCGGGCAGCACTCGCTCCTCATCGTCATTTGGGGTGGGGTGAGGCAGAAGATCAGGGCAGGGCAAGGCCAGGCCGGGCAAGGCATGGTACTGTACCTGATGGTATCAAGGTATGGAAGGGCATACATGCCATACGCGGTGCGGTGCAGATATGGCCAGACCACAGATGATGCCGATGCTGACGCTGACGCTGCTGCTGCTACTGCGGGCTTTGATGATGATGATGATGCTGCTGCTGCTACTGCTGCGAGTGATTGTAATGTTCGCGGATGCTGATTGATGCAGGTGGATAAGGCGGCGAATTGTGAAAATTATTGCAACATCTATCTCGATAGTTCGGTAGTTGTCAAGGCCAACAGGCGAAGTAGTGTAAGGCATGTAGTTGCCAGCGGTAGTTGTGCTTGAATTGTGCTACTACTATTATTGCTTGTTGACTGCTCAGCTTCAAGTCGACCCATCATCCATGTTCCGGATGAACGACAGCTGCTTTGTCGACAGCAAGGACAGGCAAAGTACCTCTCGTGAGGGATCCCGCAAGGCAAGGTACGTGCGGCTGTTTGGCCGGGTCTCATATGAACAGCTAAGCTCACTGGTTCGGGCTTGGAGCAGATCAGGGACTTGGGGGACTTGACTTGGGCTGAGGGCTGCTGTCGTGAGTTGCCGGTTCGTTGTCGCCGCAGTGCATCCGTAGGACGGACGGGATGGCCAGACTGACAGGCGGCGGGCGGGCTTGAGCGAATGCAGCTCTGGTGCAGCTAACGTGCGGAAATGCAGAGCTATGGACAGCCTACAACTGCTGCTCACATAGGTACATACCTAGCTCTGGCTGCACAATTCCCCCACTACCTACGAATCCTGCGTAAGGTCTCCATATCCGTACCTGTGTACGAATACAGTCTCGGCCGCATGTTGGTGGATGTATGGCCCGTCCAGCCTGCAGCAGTGGCCGTCAAAGTTGGCCCGTAGTGTACTGCATGCCTAGGCATGTAGCAAAGTGGCATTGGCGGCCTTGGTGGCCTCTGGTGGTCCGTTTGTGGCATCGGGGATGAAAAGAGCTCCAGCCGGAGGGTCCCTCTGCTCTTAGCTTCCTGTGCTAAGGAACCGTCATGCTTCCCCGAAACGAAGGAAACAGGAAAAGGGGGGTGATGGAACCGGGAAGCCGGGGCTGGTCGGCGTTGGGTTTGTGTCGTTTGGCTGGTGTTGAGCTGCCGCAGGCGCTGCGGGTTCAAGGTTGGGTGGGAAAAGAGCAGTACCATGTACGGATACGCAGGACTGGCAGCTGGAAAGTGGACCTGCAAAAGCTGCCCTTGTCCTGGCACCAGGCGGCGGGACTGCGACTTGTGGTGTTTTCGCGCGGCTTTGCCATCACCGTCGTTCGTCTCCCCCCCACTATCGGCAGGCTAACGTCGTGAAGGTTCAACCTGCAATACGGGAAGTCCGTCCACAACGAAGCGAAGCTTTGGCGGCGGTTGAATTCTTCAGTGTTAGTGTGTTGATCGTTCCCTCTGGGCTGGCTGTGCTCTGCTCCTCTGCTCCTCTGCTCCTCCTTCGTGGAGTCCCGTCATCCTCACCGTCTTTTCGAGTGCGTCTGTTAGAGTTTCCTGTCGGCGGGAAACGTGGGGAGAGGATGTTACTCCGCGGCGAGGGCGGAAGCAAGTGTTCGGGGCCGGGGAGGGAGACTTTTCGTTATCGGTATCAGCGTCGACGCCATATGCAATGCGCAATGCGCAGCGCGCAAAGTACAGTGTCAACGTGACCAACGATGCGGTGAGAGACAGAGACGACGTGTTGGAGCAGAGTTCCAAGCCCTGGGCACCAGAGTCATTGACGTGATGAGGTTATCATCAGCCAGGGGGCTTGGAGCACCTGCTGCTCTGGGCGGCCGTCAACGGTGAACGATGGAGAGAATATGGAGGCATCAAGCATGAAGCATGGGGGGGGGGGAGAAGCCGGGCAATGACAGGCGACTGACTGACTGTACGGATGCTGCAACAGCCCAAGACTGTGTCAACCAATGTGTGCAGCGCGGTGCACCGTGTTCGGGTTGCAACGATAGTGCCTTCCCGTCGTCTCCTGTGCATGTCGGGAGGGTTTGCAGTGCCTGGGAAGGGAAGGGAAGGGAAGGAAAAAGAAAGAAAAGACGGAGCCGGTAGCCATGATCGCCGCCTTGTTCCTTCCCACGCTTCAGGAGGTGTTCAGGTGGCAGCCATGCCATGCCAGGGCGTTGGACAGGGGCCAAGGGTGTTGGGTTCCATCTTGTCTTGAGCTGGCTGTCCTGTCCTGTCCTGTCCTGTCTTTGCCTTGCCTCAGGGCGACGTGACCATCATTCCCTTGCCCCAGAGCTCAAGGCTCAAGGCTCAAGCTCAAGCAACGCAACCTAAGCTTACGCCCAGGTGACAAGGCGAAGTTTCTGACCCTGCCCCGGTCGCTGAACTCAAAATCTCTTGCTCGTTCCTGATCTTCGTCACCGCTCTGTACTCAAATGCGACCTCACGTCCTCTTCTCCTGCGCCTGTCGCAAGGTCTCTGCCGCCCTCGCGCTACACCAACAAAGCCGCTGCCGTCACGCAATCCAACGGCTGCCGACACTGGGACTTTGGGATAGACCGGAGTGGTCAACATGAACATGAACACCTCTCTGGCCGGCGACACCTGGACCAAAGGCCATCTCGCAACTCGGCTGTACCGATCCGCCCCAATGTTTGCTCGCGGATCGGCGTTTAGCCCTGGCCGGGCCCTGACTAGGAGCAGGAACGGGGCGCTGGACCTTGACTTTGCAGAAGAGTGCAGGACCGCCTAAGCAACAGAACAAGGGTCCATCTGGTCGACTGGACTGCCCGGCCTGCTTGACCAACCCGTCGGGACCGTTTCCAACATCCCCCGGACCTACCATATCCTCTGTCTCCTTTCTCTGGTCCCCTCTTCACCTCACGAAACATGCTACCAAAGAGGTAGTGAAAAGATACGTTTCTCCGAAGAGAGACGCTCCGACGTGTCTCTATCGGCCCTATCACACTGGTTATCGCTCCAATGTCGACGCTTGGACGTGCCGTCGGAAGTTTTGCAGACGTGCCATCCGTGTAAGTCCATTGGAGACTGGCGACAGCAATGAGCACCGCTATCTATCCCCTGGCAGTTCAACATCTGCCGCAGCTACGGCAACATACTGAATCTTTGCGCCATCTTTGCCGTTCTTAACTTTCGGCTAAGTCCTTTAGGGCGGTCCTATTTTTGAAATGAAGATATCAGAAGCGAAGTTGACGCGCACACAGAGGACGAGAGCGTTCAGCACATGGACGGGAGGTGGAGAAAAGCGGTCAGCAGCAATCCGGCAACTCCAGATTACACATTGCATCTGCCCACGTTCCATCCCGTCGCCGCACATGTTTGCCTTTTTTTGCAGAAAGAGACAAAGGCCGTTATCCCCGCCTGAGTTACACACAGGTGGCAGAGCCAATGGCAAACGGGATATCGAACCGACCATAATAATCTCAAAATCCGAGCGACCCTTGACTACTTCAAGCCTCTCTGCTGTCCTCGTGACGAACAACGGTTGCAACATTTCTTTTTTCATGATATTTCTTCCGTCCGCCACGGACGGGTTCCCACCAGAGGTACATACAGTCAAATAATGCCTGCTTTTGCATGACAAGAGCCTGACTTTCAACAGCTAAAGACGGGGAACTCGCTACTGCAGGAGGCTGCGTGTCTCGGCGGAGCCTGCATACCCGACCATCCCCGACTTGCCCGCCAGCATCATCGACAATCGCGCAACAGCGCATAATCGAGACTGACGAGTTGGTCTGACAGGTGCCGCAAGTTGTGCGGGAGCAAGTCAAGCAACGCCAGCAACTCGACCGGCCTCGCGCGGCTGCTTGTCAATACTTGGGCGCCATGCCCTACCCTGCGAGGCGGCCAACGCAGCAACGGCAGCTAGGCCGTTTCTGATGTAAGAAGCCGGCGTCAAATGTACATCTCCCGCTCGTGTCTCGCCAGACCCTGCCAGAATTGCAGACGGGCAGCCGTATGAAGACTTCCGGAGCAAGGATGCCACAGATTTGCACAGCACCTCATCCGCACCTTATTTTTTTCTAGTAACCTACGCGTCGCTAGTAGAAGAAAAACACGCCTTGGCTGTGTTTGCCACATCATCTGTCTTGTATCGGCTGGCCGCTTCCACAAGCCCTGCTTTGGATCCATGTGGAGTTGTTCTCTGCCTTCTCTGCATGCCATCGCCCGCAAGATTGCCAACGAGCTGGTGGTCGTATCGATCGCTTCGAAAGGGTCAAGTCCTCCAGGGGCAATGCCCAGGCACGAGTAGAAATGTGAGGCGGTTCAGGCCAACGTTCCAAAGAGAGAATTCAATGGCTCTCGATGTTCAAGGACATGTGTTGTCGCCAGTTTCGTGTATTGATGCGGGCCATCACGTCAACCGCGCCATACAGTTATAGCGCAATGACCTCACGGAATGGAGTTACAACTTTCTGGCTGTCACATGAGCACCCAGTGACACGCCTATGTCTAGGGTCCTCGCAGATCGCCCAAAAGATGTGTGTGTTTTGCGATCCGATTTCGCACGTCGGTCGATGCTGCAAGTCGATCAGGGCTACGCAATGGAAAGACCAAAGATCGACATCAAGGACGACTTCTGCGACGTAGGTGCCAAGGCCACATTAAGATGAGGAGTAATACAACGTCCAGCGGGAAAAAGCAAGAAAGACCCAGCCAGCCCCATGTTGGTTGTATCGATGGCGAACGTCTTCCGGGCGTTGGCATGACCTGCAGCAAGACCCAGCTCCAGAGGCCCAACGGGCATCGCCAGGGTGGAGATTAGACGGTCCCAGAAGGCACTTCTCAATGAGGAAGGATGCATAAGTGTGGAATTATTGCAGCCGGCCGGACTCACTACACTCGAACCCGGTGCAGGGCACGCAGGTCACTTTCAAGCGGATCGCAGCCCGAGAGTCCAGTCCAGTGCTGTTCCATGAGAAATCTCCGCTCCCGCTGCGGTGGGCCTGCCGTGTATGACGAACATGTCGGGCCCCATTCGCCCGCTCCAGGGTTGCACTTGGGCTTCTATTCAGAGGGCCTCCGGCTCGGCCGTGTGGCCCACCGTGGCCCGCCGACGGCCGGATCCGTATCACGGCGCTGGCGTCGGGCAGTGGTCCTGTGCAGAGTAGAATACGAGTCGCAAAAGCCCATGACCGAAAGCCAGTGCCATATGACGTTCCTTGACGTCGGATCCGCGTCGCGCAACCTGAACGCTGTGCCACTCAAGCACCAAAGAGCCGCCAGATCGGGGCCAGATGGGGCGATGGCAGAGAGCGCCTGTCGTCCAACCGACAAGGCCTCGGCCAACTGGCAATCGGGTACCAAGAAGGCCGGGCTGTGGTGTCAAGGATGGGAATCAGAGGTCGGCTGGTGATGGAGGGGAGCACAGCGTCAGCACTGACACGGTTGAGGGTGTCCTGAGTGAGAGAAAACAGGAATAAGCTGCAGTGCATATACTTTGTAGCAGTTATGAAGACTCTCGTGCGACCCTCCCATGGCCATTCTCTGTCAGAACGGTTGCCGCATATCAGACTGTCAAAACGGCGCCCAAGGGTCAAGCCAGCTGTCCACGGAAACAGTCCCGTGGACGGAATTTTGTGGTGGCCATGTGAGACGACCTTTCCCCCCTAATTACCCCAGCTCATTCAGGTGTTGTCTAATCGATAAATGGCCTGGAGACGCGGGGGAAATGGTGGAGGCCGAGTTACCTCGGTACCCCACAAGCGACCGACCGGGGCTGGGCGTCTTCTGGTCCTCGTCCACGGCCGGACCGAGTCAGCTAGACTGCCGTCAGAATCGCTGCGCCTCTACTTTTATTGCGCTGGTTCAACCTGTTTCCTACACCACGTAAACTAGAAAGCGTGTAGCTCTTGTTTCCTCCTTTCCCGCATCCCCCTTAGATCCGTTGTTTGTGTGCGTTTTGTGTTACACAGAAAATAGAGATCAGAGAACGTGTCCGCAAAGTAGTCGCCCAACCATGCCTTTCAACACTGAGCTGACCCGACGGTTGGGTATCAAAGGTACGTCAAGACTCGAGATAGATGATGGTGGAGGACTGGGTGTGGGAATGCACAACACATCAGAGCGAGCGTCACAATGCATTTCAGGCCACCACTTGGATGAGAACCCGACCGCGCTGACACGCTCTCTTTCTCCTCGACAGTACCCATCGTCCAGGGCGGCATGCAGCACGTCGGCACAGCCGACCTCGCCTCGGCCGTCTCCAACGCCGGCGCCCTGGGAATCATCACCGCCCTCATCTTCCCGACCCCCGAAGAGCTGCGCAAGGAGATCCGCCGCTGCAAGACCCTCACGAAGTACCCCTTCGCCGTCAACATCACCCTCCTGCCGGCCCTCGTGCCCCCGGACTACGGCGCCTACGCCCAGGTCGTCATCGACGAGGGCATCCGCATCGTCGAAACGGCCGGCAACTCGCCCGGGCCCGTCATCAAGCAGCTCAAGGCGGCGGGCGTCACGATCCTGCACAAGTGCACGACGATCCGGCACGCGCAGAGCGCCGTGAAGCTGGGCGTCGACTTCCTCAGCATCGACGGCTTCGAGTGCGCGGGCCACGTGGGCGAGTCGGACATCACCAACTTCATCCTGCTGTCGCGCGCGCGGCAGTCGCTCAAGGTGCCGTTCATCGCGAGCGGCGGCTTCGCGGACGGCGAGGGGCTCGCGGCGGCGCTGTGCCTGGGCGCGTGCGGCATCAACATGGGCACGCGCTTCATGTGCACGCTGGAGGCGCCGATCCACCACAAGATCAAGGAGGAGATCGTCAAGGCGCAGGAGACGGACACGGCGCTGCTGCTGAGGCGGTGGAGGAACACGACGCGCCTGTACCGCAACAAGGTCACGGAGGAGGCGATCAAGGTCGAGCAGGAGAGCACCTCGGGCGAGTTCTCCGAGATCGCACCGTTGGTTAGCGGGAAGCGCGGGAAGGAGGTGTTTATCACTGGTGATCCAGACTATGGCGTAAGTGTTTTCACGCGCGGCTTGCATACAGAATAATTGCTAACATGGGAAAACATAGGTCTGGACAGCCGGTCAGGTTATTGGACTGATTCACGATATTCCCTCGGTCAAGGACCTGGTGCCCAGGATAGAGAAAGAGGCCGAGGCGGCGCTCAAGGAGAGGTTGTCGCTCATCCAGCCAGTAGCGAAGTTGTAGAGGTCCTCCACGACGGGCCACGATGATAGATCTGTAGAATGATGTCTGTACTATTGCTCACGATGATTTCTTAATCCCCAACGACGTTATGTCTCGACCTGTACCCGTACACATAACCTGGTCATCCATTTGCGGCAGTGTGCTGACCTTGTGGGCAACATTCTTGCAGCGGCCACTTCCTATTGGCGTAGGCTGTTGACTCGCGGTGCATCTTCACATGGGAAAATGACGGAAAACATGGGGTAACCCCATACACGGGTCTAACAATCTTCAAAGCCAAGCAAACACGTGTCCCACTCGGTCGGAATTGCAGCAGACAAAGCACCGGCCGCAGTTTTGCAAGGTGAAGGCGGGGAGATCGGTCTGATCCAGCCACATAGTCCGCTCACCGTGATTATTATTCCAGCTCGGGGAGTTTATGTCAGTACTCTAATCATGTGTCCCGTGACGAGAAAAAAAAAAAAAGGCAGAATTGGAGATCAGGCGCAGATGCTTGTGACGCAGACCATTGACCTTTGCGACGGTCTCGGCAGCGTTCCTTCAGCGACGTCCAATAGCGTCGTCTTCCCCCGCAACGAAGGTCGCAGTATGGGGGATGCGGAGGCAAAGGCAAGCCCAGTGGAGCTGTTGCAGCAGTAGCAGCAGCAGCAGCACACTGCACTGAGTGAGGTACTCCGTAAGGTACAGCACGAATCGCAGCAGAAAACATGCGAGAAAAGTAGCATGTGAAAGCTTCCAGCGTCCCGTCGGTGCTAGCGCGTGCGGGTTAAGCGGGTCCCCCCCAACCTTGGTCGTTTCGCACCAATGCGGTGTGGCCTTTGGGAATGCCTCGGTCGGAATTGCAGATACCCCAGCTGACATCAGCGCCCACGGCCCCCAGCACCGCTGTTTTCTCGAACTGCCACCACGTCGCGGCTCCTTTGTCACGCCTGCTTTGAACATCCGAGGCTCGTCTGCCAATCTGAGATCCGATCCATACCTAGTCCACGTCGTAGACCTTTTTCTTATCCTTTACATACTTATCCTCTCCCATCTACCGCTGCATACCATCACATCCCCAGCATCTCTTTGTTTACTATATCCACCAATCTTTAAAGCTTCACATCTACACAAAATGGGTGGTGAGTAGCTTGCGTTGGCGTCCCGATGATTTTCTGCGATGCTAACAGTGATGTTTGAATAGCCCTCGAGAGATTGACTCAGCTGGGAGGCCAGTTCTCCAGCGGCAGCAACAAGGAGAAGCTCCTCCAGAAGAACGCTGACGATGTAAGCCCCCAAACCTCGGCACACGCGGAGAATCACCCTCTCTAACACTGCTCTCCTCCCCAGGTCGTCGTTACCGCAGCCCTCCGAACGGCCTTCACAAAGGGTGGCAAGGGTGGCTTCAAGGACACCCAGGCTGCCGACCTCGTCGCCGGCGCCTTCAAGGCCCTCCTTGAGCGCTCCAAGATCGACCCTGCCCTCGTCGAGGATATCGCCGTCGGCACTGTCCTTGCCCCCGGTGGTGGTGCTACCGAGATGCGCGCCGCTGCCCTCGTCGCTGGCTTCCCCGAGACCACTGCCGTCCGCACCCTCAACCGCCAGTGCTCTTCTGGTCTGCAGGCTTGCGTCGACGTCATCAACCAGATCAAGACCGGCATGATCGAGATCGGCATTGGCGCCGGTGTTGAGAGCATGTCCACGCAATACGGGTAGGTTCACATCTCGATTACCACTATTTCCAGAAGCTAACTGATAGTTCTCCAGCCCTGGCGCCGTCTCCGAATTCTCCGAGCAGCTTGAGAACACTCCCCAGGCCGCTAACTGCAAGGTCCCCATGGGTGTTCTCTCCGAGGACATGGCCCGCGACCTTGGCATTGCCCGCACCAAGCAGGATGCCTTCGCCGCCTCCTCCTACGCCAAGGCCGCAAAGGCCCAGGCGGAGGGTCTCTTTGATCAGGAGATTGCCCCTCTCACCGTCAAGTGGGAGGACCCCAAGACCGGCGAGACCAAGGAGATCACCGTCGCAAAGGATGACGGTGTTCGCGCTGGCGTCACCGCTGAGTCCCTGGGCAAGATTAAGCCTGCCTTCGCCAAGGACGGCAGCATCCACGCCGGTAACGCTTCTCAGGTTTCCGACGGTGCCGCTGCTGTTCTCTTCATGAAGCGTTCCACCGCCGAGCGTCTTGGCCAGCCCATCCTCGGCAAGTTCGTGTCGGCTGCCATTGTTGGTCTGCCGCCCTTGTTGATGGGACAGGGTCCTGCCAAGGCCATCCCCAAGGCCAACGCCCTCGCTGGCATCGCCACTGAGGACGTCGATATCTACGAGATCAACGAGGCGTTTGCCTCCCAGTGCTTGTGGAGTGCCGAGCAGCTCGGCATTCCGTTCGAGAAGGTCAACCCCAAGGGCGGTGCCATCGCTTTTGGCCACCCTCTGGGCTGCACTGGCGCGCGACAGGTCTCCACCCTGCTGTACGAGCTTAAGCGCACGGGCAAGAAGATTGGTAACACTTCCATGTGTATCGGTACCGGTATGGGCATGAGCGCCGTCTGGGTTGCCGAGTAAATGGGCACACCACGATGAACTTGTATTTTATAGCATTTGGCCTGGTTGTATATCAACAGAGTGGTTCTTGGGATTAGGCGCATGAATACGATTGGATATGACCTTCACTTTAATACGTCTCACTGTTACTCTGCGTGCGTTTCAATGCCTCGGAATGCTCCCACTTGGAAGCAATAAAGGTGATGGGAGAGGTAAAGCTTCATAATAGTGCTGTGCCGTGGCACGGTTCATACATGTATTGTGCTCTACTTTCATCCATAAAAAATCTTCACTTCGGCATGGGTATCCAACCCAGGCCTTGGTATCCAGGCCATCAGAAAATTTCAAGCCTAGAGCCACAAGAAAAGTTTCTTCTTCACGACCAGAGTCAAGCTCCAGCCCGCAATGAAAAAAAGGAAAAGACACGCCTGTCAGACGTCCATCGACACCCACCCTGCCCGCGCGCCCAAGGGCAAGACCGCAGACAGGGACGAGATCATCACCGCTCTCTATACAGCCCCAGAAACAAGTCCGAGACCGCCATCCTTTCGGATGGGTCGAGAGCAACCAGGAGTTCTTCACTCTAGGGCGTCGAGGATACAACTCATCAACCAGGGTGGGATCTGTGGCTCCTGTAGGGAACCAAGAATAGGTCGAATACTATAGAAATGATTCTCCTGTTGGGCGGTGGTTAGCAAACCGTCTTTTTCCGTGTATGGGCGCTGGGAGGAGAAAAGTTAGGGGGTGGGACATACTGAAGTATTGTCGACATGAAGAAAAGAAGAAGAGAAAAGGTGAAAGGAAGGCGCGGTCGACGAGATTTTATAGACGTTCTGGAGGGGGAGCACGTCCCGCGCCGGCTCGGTGGGGCTGCGGCTCTGAGGTCGATGGTGGGGTCCGACTGAAAAAAATCGAGATGGGAAAGTGCAGTTGCGATTTTTTTACGATGGGCGGGAACGAAGGTGGGGCTGGGCGTTGAGGGAGGAACGGCTGCCGCACCAGCTGGAGGGAAGAAATAATTCTGGGAGGGCTTTGATGCCGGCAAGTTCTTGATCAAGCAGCTTGCTCGTGTGCTGGAGGAGCTCGAGGGACGAACCAGATGTACTGGCGCGGGTTGGCACAAAATGCTCACGCTACTTGTCGACGCATACGACTAGGCCTAGTATCAATCAATGGTTTCGTGGTGTAGTTGGTTATCACGTCAGTCTAACACACTGAAGGTCTCCGGTTCAAGTCCGGGCGAAATCATACCATTTTGCTTTTTTGCATGGGTTAACCACAATTTCTGTTTTTTTTTTACTGCTCCTAAAGATGGAATAAGATTGTTGGGCCGTTCTTTCTTCGACTTGATTGATTTATTCAAGCGAAGTACTTAAATAGGTCTGTTGTTCATCCGTTCTATCTAGGTCACTAAGAGTTACTAGCAAGTGCTGTGCGTACGACGTCCAGTTGAGACGTCTCCGGAGAGAAACAACAATTTCCATCATGCTCAAAGGATCGTTCCCCCCATTGTCCGGTTGTATGCTTCTTTTTCGTGTTTGGACATGCACATGCCTACATGCCCACGGTCATCTTTGATTTCCGTTGCGAGCCTTCATCCGTTGCCAACTCTGTTCCCTGCCCATTCCCCTCGAACGATCGGCATGCTGAACAGATCTGGCTGAAGCCTGATAATCAACTCGTTGAAATCCCGATATGTTGGGAAGTCTGATAGACTGTGGCTCGTTCTGATTTTAAGTAACCCGGAGTAGACAAGTTCTAATGGCATCCCGGACACATGTTTTCCAGCTTGATGACGATAAACCTTGTGTTCAACCGAAACGGGGATAATCGCTGAGCTTGCGATATGCCCATTGGAGTTTTGCGTATGCGAACAAACCTGAGCATGCCTGGTCAGTTCATCCTCTCGGGGGGAGAATAAAATGCAGTGAAAGTCGCCGGTCGTGCCTGACCCGACATTAGACAAGCAAGCGATCCAACGACAGCCCCTATTTGAATATCAACTGGGAAGGAGCAGACGGAACCAAATGTCACAAGAAGATGCCAATCCATAGACGCCTTTCACTCCCGACGCCCCCCCTCCCCCCCCCCCCCCCTCGATCCCGCATCACCTAGCTCATCTCCATGACGGGACATATCCGCATGGCGTAGTTGGTCCGTCACATACGACTGCAGTGGTATCCTTGGGGTCGCTGGATAGTCACATCCAACGATGCTGATCAAAAAAGAGAGAATCGGCCAGAGTTATTCCCTGACCGCTCTGCCAAAAGATATTTCGAGCTGCCAGGACAACCTGTCCCAGCCTGGTCATCGGCGATCAATGGAAAGGGCGCTACCGATATGGTATGCATGGGTTATTCAGCTTGAACATGTCGTCGACATTCATCGTGACAAGAGGTGCTCTTGCCCCGGCCTCTTGTGCGTAAGGAAAATGAGGTTACCTCTGGAGACTGAACTTTTCTTCGGCACGTGTTCGTTAACCCCGTTCATATACCACATGGCCTGTTGATCCACCTATTCCGTTGGAACAAGAGCGATTTGGGACGTGGCGAGGCAGACACGGCTGCCCCGATGTCCGAGTAAGCGCAGAGCCGGGCTTCAACACGATGCAGCAGGAGCCGTCTACTTTCACACTGACGCAAAGAAACCGGGGGCTGGAAACGCCAGGAAACCATTGCTTAGAGATAGACCACCTGAAGGTCCAACGTGAAGCAGATTCATTCTACCTGCCTGTATACCGTATGAGGTGACCTGTAAAAGACACCCTTCATCAAGGAAATGAAACTCAAGATATCATCAACAAGAGCTGGTCCGCCTAGGACTCTTTCCCGTTCTTTTCGTTTTTAGTCCTTCATCATAATAGACGCAAACTCATCATCTGTTTTTGGAAGGTCAGCTTGCTTGCCAAATAACGAGGTATCGTGCGTGCCAACAGGCCCAAACACAACAAAGGGGGCAGGCAATGTCGATGCGGTGGGTGCTCCTTACAGTCAATCGTTCCATCGCCGTTCTTGTCGGCCATCTGGATCATCTCGTCAATCTCGGCGTTGGTCATGTTCTCGCCCAGCGATTTCAGGACATGTCGCAACTCCTCGGCCGAGATGGTGCCGCTGCCGTCGCGGTCGAACACCTTGAACGCGTTCTTGAGCTCCTCCTCAGCGTCGCCGACCTGCACCTTTACCGCCATCAAGTTGAGGAATTCTACACACGTCGAGTTAGTGCTCCGCTTTCGAGACGCTTCATATCCACGCAACCGCAACGACGTACCATTGAAGTCGATCGTGCCGTTGTTGTCTGCGTCGACCTCGTTCACCATGTCCGTCAACTCCGTGTCGCTGGGGTTCAGACCCAGGGACCTCATGACCTCTCCCAGCTCCTGGGCGGTGATGTCACCTGCAGAAACAATGTCAGTTTGGGGTTGGGATGAGAAAGCAAAAAGGGAACTGCAGCAAATCCGAGATGAGATGGAACGGTCTAAGCCACGCCGTTCCCGAGCGGATTTAAGAAAAAAAAAAAGGGTTCGATCGAGTTTAAAAAATAATTCCCGACTGTCGTCCAGAAAAAGGGGGCGCAGCAAGTTCGCGGCTCGAAAAAGGGTGTTGTTACTGACCGGTCCCATCCTTGTCCTGTTGTCGAGTTAGCAAAATGAGTAACTCCGGTGTCGTCGAAGGTTGACGTAGGCCAGCCCAAAAAAATCAGGCTCGGCATGGCGCCAGCCTGATGGAAAGGGGAAGCGGGAGGGAGAAACTCACAAACAGGTCAAAGACCTCCTTGTATTGCGCCCTTTGCTCTTCAGTCAACCCAGCAGCAGCCTGGACATTGTGGTCAGCTTCATAAATCGGAGCATCTCGGGCGGCCGGAGCATAAGTTTCTCACCATTTTTTTTATGTTGGATATGTGGTGGTGACGAGTTGTTTGTGAAGGAAGTTTTGGTGAGTGAGCGTCGGTGGTTTGAGACAGGGAAGACGGCGTGGGCGTGGGCACCGACAGCTGAAAGCGGGGATGTGACGATGACCCCGCACGGTGCTTAGTGCGAACAGCTTCATCAATTCGTACGGCTGGGGGGAAGGCATTTGGACGGAGGGCTGCGTTTTAATTTGTCCCAGGTTGCATCAGCATTTCCTTGTTTAGACGGTCCAACGGTCGGCGGTGATCAAGTCAGCCTCATCACATTTCCCGCGGGCACCGGGGGTGATTGACGAATGGCCGTTGTTCGCAAAGGCAGCGAGGCACACTCCAACTGCCGGCGCAGCTGACATAATCCAGGCCTAGACCTCACTCAAAAGAACGCGACGTGACGTGGGCAGTTATCGCCGAAGCGTTAGAATGAGTCTTTCGGCCAGTATCAAAAACACCAGGAATCACCACCAGATGTGCAAAAAGGGGCCCAACCGGGGTTTGAACCCGGGACCTCGCCCAATCAAGCTATGCTTGAGAGTATTACTACCCGAAGGGCGAATCCTACCACTAGACCATTGGGCCTTGTTGAGTTGAGGTGAAGCACAAGTGCCTGTTGTAGGGTCGGTTTGGCTCCAGGCAGGCGCGAGGTGAGGAAGTTGCCGCGAAGGGAAGGAAGGCACGCGGTGTTAGGAGAACAATAAGTATCAATTGGCCAGTTAGCATTCAATGCCTCCTCACCGCAAACACCTTGCACATGGACACCGCAGGGGTGGGATTTGAGGAACCAACAACAACACCATGCCGTTGGATTTGAGTAACCCGAGCCGAGCACCGCCGGATCCAGCTTCCGATTCCGAACATTCACATCGACCAGCACCCCGACACCAAGATGCTGCCGCCAAGCTTCAAAGGCGCGGAATCCCACGCGCACAGTTTACCACAGAGCGACACGATACACCTTACCCACCGCCCCGTCCTGCACATCGAACCCTACATCCGTACAACCTCTTAAGTGCGAATAGGCCAAGCGGCCGGGCCCTGAACCAAATGGAAAGCCAACGCATTCTACGGCCCCCACCACCGGCATTGGGATCTCCAAAAAGTTCAGTCCCGGCCCCACGCCCGAAAGCCAGGGGACGCCAAGTTCCAACCCGGCCCGCCCGCAGTCGTGCTGCAAAAACTTACGATAGAAGAACGGTGTTCCCCGCGATAACGAGTAAGGCAAGCCGATAAACCACGACACCGCAAATTTCGACTCCGATATTGCGCCGGTCCGGGGTGATCCCCTTCAACGTGCTCCTCCCCCAACCACCGCCTCCCCTTTCCCCGTCTCTCCTCCTCTCCCACCTTGCCCTTTTAAAGTTACGCAGCAAATCTCTCCCTTTTCCAATTCGTCTGGTGTTGCCAGTTTGACATTTTCGCAGAATCTTCCAATCGCGAACCGTGATCTACCTCCCACCTTGTGGTACCGTCCTGAGTCGCACAATCGCATCCTGTACTGAGGTACCTCGCGTCGCACGAACACACAGACACGCGACAATGGCAGACCCCGCCGAACCCCCCTCTTCGATTCTCATCATCGGCTCCGGCGTCTTCGGCCTGACGACAGCCCACGAACTCGCCCTCCGCCCCCGCTACGCCTCCACCAAGATTACCGTTCTCGACCGCTCCCCCGTCCCCGGTCCCAGTGAAGACGCCGCCAGCGTTGACTCTTCTCGCATCATTCGCTCAGACTACGCCGATCCAGCCTACGCTCGCCTCGCCGCCGAAGCCCAGACGGAATGGCGCAAGACCACAAACCCTTCAGACCTTGGAGGTGAAGGCCGGTATCGGCAGTCCGGCTTGTGTCTCGTCGCCGACCCCAAGTCTGCTTCCCCCGCAGCTTCAACGACATCATCACCACCAAAAAAGACGAGTCTGGAATATGTTCGTGAAAGCTATAACAACGTCGTCTCGCTCGCAGGGCCCGATGGCGATAAGATCATCAAGGAGCTTCCCACCCCGGAGGCAATCCGCGACCACCTTGGCACCCCGATCGCCCCTGGAACATGGGGCTACATCAACCCTTTGGCTGGTTGGGCTGACGCTGGCGAGTCCATGAAGTATCTCGCCCGCCGCGTCGAGGCCCTTCGCCGCGTAAACTTCGTCTCTGGCACCGCTGCCCGCTTAAACTACTCTTCCGCCTCGACCGTCACCGGCGCAACACTTACCGATGGCCGTGTCCTTTCCGCCGACCTCGTCATTGTCGCCGCCGGTGCTTGGACGGGCCAGCTTGTCGATCTCTCAGGCCAGGCCATCGCGACCGGCCAAGTGCTCGGATACATTGACATCACCCCCTCCGAGCTCGAGATCCTCTCCAAGATGCCTGTGACTCTCAACTTCAGCACAGGACTCTTCATGATTCCTCCGTCAGGACTGCAGGTCAAGGTTGCCCGCCACGCGTACGGCTACCTTAACCCGACACCGATCCCTCACCCGTCTCCCTCGTCCTCCGGGAAGAAGAGCACCGTCTCCCTGCCCGCGACGCACATCACCGACCCCAACCTTCAGGTCCCGAAAGAGGGAGAGGATGCGCTGCGCACCGCCGTCCGCACCATCGTCCCGATCCCCGCGATCCACGACCGCCCGTTCGTGAAGACGCGGCTGTGTTGGTACACCGATACCCAGACGGGCGACTTCTTGATCTGCCACCACCCCGAGGCGAAGAACCTGTTTGTCGCCACGGGCGGCAGCGGTCACGGCTTCAAGTTCCTGCCTGTGTTGGGCAGGGAGATTGTGAACGTGCTGGAGGGCAGAGGCGACAAGGTGTTCACTGAGAAGTGGAAGTGGAGGGCGATCAACAAGCCCGAAGACGTGACGAATCTGTATGACAATATTTCATGCGACGACGGCAGCCGTGGAGGCGTGCCTGGCATTTTGCTCAAGGGCGAACAGCCCAAGCTGTAGCGCTTTGTGCTATCCGGCCGTGGTCATCAGTAGTAATGAATGTCGATGTAGAACCGTAGACACGTAGAGCAGGTATTGTACATATACAAAAGTTTTTTTTGTTCTTCGACCGAATATGGGGCCAAGGCAAACTGGCACAATTTTTACAGATCACTGATTTGTCACAGCTACGGGGTTGGGTTCATGAAATCAGGTTTAGCATTGCACTCATACTAATGCCTGCTAAGCTCGCATCAAACCCTAAACTTGAGCCAGAGTAAGGATGAGTTAATCAACCTGGCCACCCTGACCAGGTGATGTCGCAAACCTGTTTTCACAGTTCATCACTCGCCAAAGCCCCTCCCGACCAACTGTCCAAGAGGCGACGGACACATCCTTCCCCCTTCCCACCGTCTCGGACCCTCATGCATCTAAGTTGCTTCCATTAAAGAACGGCGAAGTCGACCCGCGCGTTGCCGTCGACCGTGCCACGAGCAATCTATGTAGTGTCGCGGGATGAGAAAAATCTCATTCTTTTCGTCTGAATCAAACCACCCAGACTGAATGCCTCCAGTCCAGGATCCCTCCTGTGCCAACGCCAATGCAATGCAGCGGAAAATCAAGGGATAACACAAACGAGCATCGAGACGTCTTGGACATGGCCAAGATGCCAGCTGACGGACGCTCGCTTTTTTTTATGGTGTGCGTGAAAAAGCAGTCGTGGTATCGTGAAGAAAGGGTGGTGTCTAATCGTACAAGTCGGCAATATTTTTGGGCGATGATACATCAACAGCGTTGATGGTTCATCCTTTGCTTCGGTTTCTAGACTTTGCGGAAATCTGGGACGAGTTAGCAATTGTAAGAGACGAGGGAAGTAGGAATACTGACCCTGAAGCACAGGATAAATCATCTCGAACGCCTGGTAAATCTCCTCACGGACCTTGGCACCAGTGAGGACGATCTTGCCAGAGACGAAGATGAGGAGCACAATTTTCGGCTTAATCATGCGGTAGATGAGACCAGGGAACAACTCGGGTTCGTAAGAACTGAAGTTGTGATGGCGGGAGGCAAGACCTTCGAGACGGATGGGGAACTTGATGTCGCAAGATCCGACAATATTCTGGATCTTGAAGTCGGTGAACTTGGCGTTGAAGCCAAGCTTCTGGATGATACGAGCGTACTTGCGGGAGGCAAGCTTCGAGTCATCCTCAGACTTGGCACCAGTTACGACCATCTTACCAGAGGCGAAGATGAGTGCTGTGGTCTTCGGCTCGCGGATACGCATGATGACGGCGGCGAAACGCTATGTTGGAAGTCAGCATCAGGAAACAACCGGTAGTCAGTCGCAACGTACCTTGGGGTTGTACTCGGCGTTTCTCGCGTGCAGGGCAATCGTCTTCAGGTCCAAGCGGCAATCGAGGTTGACCGTGGCAACGATGTTCCTTTAAGCAGCGACATAAGCGTCATGGAGCAGAAAAATTTCACTCATGATATACATACTGCAGCGTGGGAGTCAAACCACTTCCACCCTGGGTGGCAGCAGGAGTCGCAGCGGGGGTCGCGGGAGTCACCCCGGTACCGTTTGCGCCTTGTTGACCGTTGACGGCGGGGACCTGACCGTTGACGGGAGCCTGAGCGCCGTTCGCCGGGGGAGGAAGCTCGTGTGCGCCGCCGGGGAAGGATAGCGAACCAGGCGCAGTGAAGGCCTTGGCTTGCGCGGCACTCGTGGGATGGGTTTGAATCGCCTCCATGATTGCGGTTGCTTGAGGGATAGGCCGAAGATGGGGCAAGGAGCAGATCTGCGAAAGTCAGTACGTTGATCTAACCATTGTAGCAAGCACGCGCCATTACAGTTGGATGCTGTAATTATTTGCCGCGGCCAAGAAAAGTAACAATGGGGAATGAGATGCGACTGCGATATGAATGGTGATGTTTTGGGTAGATCGCGTAGGTGGCTGGAATATTTATAGGTGTATGGAAGATGGTCTGTGCGCGAGACTTCTGCACCCCGATGACCTCCAAAGTCGGGAAGGTGCGAGCCAAGTAGAGGAAGGCAGTCGTGCAGACAGGTGCGATGGGAAAAACGACGACTGAAGGAGATGGAACACCATACCAGAAGTGGGAGAAAAACAAGTGAATGTCTCCCCTACAGCGACTGCTCAAGACAGATAGATGAGGTAGGTAGGTAGCGCTTGTCTCGACGACTTGGCGGTCAGGCAAATGGCGCGATATGGGATCTCAAGGTTGAGGTAGGTCGACGAGAAGGTCGTTGGTTTCGTAGGCGTCGCTTTGGATTTGTCGCGAAAGACCCAGATACCACCAATCAACTCGACGTCTCGGGATACCTCGTCACGGTTCAAAGCACTTGTGTCTCTATTCGTCGACGATGCAATGCGCACGGATTGTGTCTACAGGGCGCAGCGACTCGTTCTCGACCTGGCTGTCGTCGGAAGGGATCGCGCGAGGAACGTAACGAAGGGATGCCTCGAAAAGAACGTATTCCAGATCTTTTCTTTCTTTCGTGCAGGGTAGGATATGCGGGTACACTTTCAGCTAAGAGAGCGATACCACCTGGGCCCTGGCTGACGTTGACAGCTCCGTCGTTAGTTTTGGAGTGTTTGGTAGTGAGGTAGAGAGAGTATAGAGATCAGCCTCGTTGGGGGTCGAGGTGGTGATGTCTGTGTGTCTGTGTCGATCGACGTCGTCGTCGTCGTTGATGACGGTGGTGAACGTGCGATGAGGCTGTGATGACGATGACGACGATGCAGGATCGTGTGCGGTGTCTGTTGGTTGGATTTTGAGTTTGGGGGTGGTTTGAGTGGGGGTGGAGAAGGAAAATTAGAAAGGCCGAACGTGAGTGGGTGTGACTACGTAAGGCCGTCGGTCGGAGCTTCCGCGCAAGAATTTCGAAACAAGCGGGTTGGAGGGAGGCCTGCCTCTTTATAATTTTGGCCATCGCCCGCCTGAGCAGTCGCCCCAACGACACCCCCCTGCCACACAGCCAAGGGGCCCCAGGCAGCCAGTGCGCCGTGGCGGTTGGTCCTGCTTGACATTGCCTGTGCTTAGCGGCCGCGCTAAGGCGTTGCATCCAATCAAAACCGCGGATTCCTCACATTTTATCTCCTTCCCACCCCCATGTCCCCCCTGTTGTGACCACCCAGCCCCTGAAGTACCGCGGCACCGCGTCCAAGGTCGCAGTACTTTCACAGGTCTTTTCTTTCTTTTTGCGACAATGCATTCTGGCCAGTGCTTACCTCTGACGGCTGGCTGGCGAGGTGGTGACGATGCTCTGCCCTAATTGTGATGCCGCTGTCGGACGCTGCTCGCCGCCCTCTGCCCTCTGCCAGGCCTGCCAGCCCAGCCAGCTCAGGGCCACGGTGTCGTGTTCCAGTGAGGCCCTCCCTGATATGGGGCCATGTCATCATCCACAGTCGCTGTCCAGTCCAAGACCTAGCCTTTTTTCTGCCCTGGAGCCTGCTTTGCGCTCGCAGCATTTTTCTTGCTGCTTCTCTTTTTTTTTTCTTCCACTTTTTTCGCGACTCAACTCGGATCGGTTTGACTGGCCCATCCCTGGGAGGCCCATCGGTCATCCCTCTCGCTCGCCATTTCGTCAGGGTTGGCCGTCCACACACACTCCTTGATTCCCGCTGAGAAAAAAATGGCAACACGCTTTTTTTTCTTCCTCGCCTACACTCCGGACCAGACCGACTGGACCTTGACGGATGCTTTGCCTCTTTTTTCAGCCAGCGACAATGCAACATCTCGTATCACTATCACTACCGACACTCGCTCGCCACGACAATGGCCCAGCAAACGAAACGACGCGTCTGGTCAGCATCATTTCCGACACCGTCGCGACACCAACGCAAATCGCCCGAGAATGACGACGGCCTGGCATAGCCCAGAGGCAACAAGCAAATCAAAACCAGACGGCATGGCAACAGCGCCCGCGCACCAAGTACGAATGCTCTCGCTCACTCGCTCGCACCCACCCGCACCCGCACCGCGACAGCTCTCAGCCCAACCCAAACCAACCAGACGCCCTCTTCCTGGCCTGCCAATGCCGCCGACGACAGCCCGTGGGCCACTACTGCCTGGATGGACACCAGCCAAATGCAAATCCCACAGCAGCGCTACCTACCACGCTATCCGACTGGATGCTGCTACCTTACCGCTAACGCTACCTACCCACGACCTGCCGACCCCATTCCGCTCGGTTCTTCTTCCTTCTGCGGCCTACCGCGATGCCTGCCACCCACTGCCAAATTGCTTCCTGCGTCCTGCTCCAACAGCTCCAGCTGGAGCGCTCCCACGGCCAAATCCCACTGTCCGCATCAGTCAGTCCCTTTGGCAGCTGCACCACATCCACCACTCCAACCACTCGGTCGCAGGTCTGGACTGTCATTGACTGGGCCCCCCCTTCACCATCCCTCTCTCCCCCCCATCCCCCCTTTTTTATGATTTTTGCATCCTCCCAGCAACCAAAGGGGCTTTTTCCCTTTTCCAACCCTCCTCCTTCACTCTCCAACCACACGCTAGCGCTCTGAAACGCTGAGCCTGCCCCCTACTTTGATGCCTCACTGACGATCAGCACCGACATGTTCCGTCAGTGCTGAGCAGCGGCAGCACACGAGAAAGCAGCAGCATCGCCATCACCCATCCTCTGGCGAACGGCCTCGCCGTCAAACCTGTCAGAAGAGACAGTCACTAGACCAAGCCCGGACGCGACAACACGACGACGCGAAACAGCAAACAGTCATAGACCACCGCCACGGCCACGATGACAAACGAACATTGAAGCGAAGCGCGGTCAGGAATGCGCGAAAACGGCACCTTGGCGCTTGCGCTGCTTTCGGCCACCCGCGGTCCCTCTGCTAGGAATTCTATGGGCCACGGCAGCAAACAGACGGCTTCCGACGTGTGAGTCATTGACTCCAGACCGGCTCCAATCGGCCACCACCAGCCATGGCAGGGGTATGTGAAAAAGCATTGCAAAGGCTGGGTTTGTCGCTCGCCTCCCACTCATAGCAGTGCCAACCAAGGGCTCCATCCCCCCGTCGTAAGACTGCCCCGTACTGTGTACGCGAGCCTCGCCACGCCGCGGCCCATCACGGCCCATCTCTGGAACCCGAACTTTCACCCGAGAAAACTCTGTCGACACCCATCAGGACACTCAGACTTCCCTAAATGCGCGGTAAGTCCGATGTGGACGAGGAGGCCTTGGGCACTTTTCGACATCGTATCGACGTCTGTTTCTTTTGCACAACCGCTTCCAATTTCGTGACGCTCTGGCGCTGCTTCATCGTCGTGGCAGAGATGGGCACTTGCAGCAGTCTTGCAGATGCAAATTTCACCGTAATCTTACTGCCAGGTATCGTGTACCAGGGCTTGACGGAGACTGGGGGCCTCTGGTCTGTGCGTCCAAAGTACCTCTGGATCCGCTCCGAAGTCGAGGTACATTTCCAGGTCGTCGGCTTCGCCCTGCGCGACTCATGCATGTGCGAGCTTCTCCTAGACACACAGCAGCAAGGCAAGGCCAAGCCATAACTTTTTTCATCTCTGGGACGCGCCGCGAACGAGAGTTCCAGCATTTGGAGCATCTCGGCCTCGCGGGGCCTGGCGAAGCTCCATCTGCACTACTACGACTCATGCAACTTCAAACACCACCATCCGACAGCCTCGTTGAACAACTCTCACGACATAGCCTCCAGTGTCGCATCAAAACGACTGTTTAAATTGTCGAACTTTGACGGCCGCTGTCCTTGGGCTTTGGGCAGCGGTTGATGGACGACTGACGTGCCCAACGACGTCTCACGAGTCGCTCTCTATTCCCACCGTTAACTGGTAATGTGTCCACACGCTGGCACGCAATGAGGCTTATCGCGAGCGCGTCATTCCGTGTCAGCTACTCTGACTCTCCCACAACCCGCAAATCTAGCCATCTGTCCATTCCAGCCTTGCCCACCGCATGAAGTCCAAAAACTACTTGCGTCTCGCAAACCACCCCTCATGTCTCCGATTTCGTCCCCATCCCCCCAAGCCGGGATCTTCTCCGATCGGGGGCCGTTCAAGCCATAAGCCGACAAGGGGACCTTCTTACTCGCTTGGATTCACAGCATGTCCATCATCACAAGCCGGACGACGTCGTGTGGTGCCATTTCTTGGTCGGGTCTCCCTTGGCTTTAGCGCTCTTCCAGAAGCCTTCGTCATGCACCGGCAAAGTTCCTCGTCTGATATGCCCGACTCGAAGAAAGAACCGAAGAAAGAACCGAAGAAAAAAACCATGTTGTCATTTACCACCGTTCGATGTAAGGGTACCGCGACATTATCCGTACACCATCCAATTACAAAGGTAAGCCAAAGCAAACAGCAAGCCAACATATGAGCGCCCAATGAAAGAGAGAGAAAAGAGCTATTTTTTGCTTTCCGCGCCGCCTTCCCAACACGTGCTCTACTCCGAAGTACATGGATATGGTCATCGGGCTTCCGAATGTTCGAAGCATTTTCCCTTCCGTTTCTTTTTGTCTTCTCTACTTTGTCTGAACAAGTACAGCCACTCACCCCATTTAGGCAACACAAGAAGAGATGACAGTCGTAGGTTTCTATTTTCTCCGCCTCGTCGTCGTCTCGAATTCCTCCTCTTTCTATGACATGTAGTACTTGGGACCCTCTCCTCCCTGGGGAACCTGCCAGTTGATGTCCTGGTTGGGCGCCTTGATGTCGCACGTCTTGCAGTGGATGCAGCTACGAATCGAGACAGAGTCAGTCAACCATCCATCAGAGGCTCCCTGAATCATTCTTCAGGCGGACAAGGACCTATCGCGACAGCGGGGGAGGGGAAGGAAAAAACTCACTTTTGCGCGTTGATCTGGAATCGCACTCCAAGCTCCTTGGTATCGTCCTCGACATACTCGTACACACCCGCCGGGCAGAAGCGGTTCTCGACGCCCTTGAACTGGGGCCACGTCTCCCGCGTATGCTTCTCCCAGTCCTTGACCTGCAGGTGCACGGGCTGGTCCTCCTCGTGGTTGGTGCCGGTGCGGCTAACGCTGGTGAGGATATCGAAGCTGATCTTGCCGTCGGGCTTCTCGTACTCGATCTTCTGGAACCGGTCCGCAGGCTTCGTCGCCGCGTGGTCCGGCGTTTTGTGCTTCAACGTCCAGGGCACCCGTCCCTTGAGCACGTACGCCTCGAGGCCCGAGTACATGATGCCGCCGTAGAGGCCTAGCGGCGTGTGGAACGAGGGGCGGAAGTTGCGCACCTCCTTGAGCTCCTTCCAGATGGACGAGTTGCGCAACTTGTCCTCGTAGTCGTAAAGGAAGACAGTGCCTTCCTCCTCCCCGGCCTCGCTGCTGGAGAGGGCGTCAAAGGCCGCCTCGGCGGCCAGCATACCCGACTTCATCGCGTTGTGCGTACCCTTGATCTTGGGTAGGTTGACGAAGCCGGCCGAGTCGCCAATCAGCGCACCACCTGGGAAGGCGCACTTTGGTATGCTCTGGAACCCGCCCTCGATCAGGGCGCGCGCGCCGTACGTCAGGCACTTGCCGCCCTCGAGGACCTCCTTGTATATCGGGTGGTGCTTCATCTTCTGGAACTCCTGGTAGGGGGAGACCCAGGGGTTCTCGTAGTCGAGCGCGACAACCAGTCCGATGGAGACGAGGTTGTCGCCAAAGTGGTACATCCAGCCGCCGCCGTAGAGGTCCTTGGACAGCGGGTACCCCATGGAGTGCGTGATGCTGCCCTTGTTGAACTTCTCCGGCTGCACCTCCCAGACCTCCTTGACGCCCAGGGCGTACGTCTGGTGCTGGCTGTCGCGGCGGAGGTCGAACTTATTGATGACCTGCTTGCTCAGACTGCCGTGGCAGCCCTCGGCGAAAAGGGTGCAGCGCGCGTGGAACTCCATGCCGCGCTCGAAGGCCTCCTTGGGCTTGCCGTCGCGGCCCATGCCGAGGTCGTTTGTGGCGACGCCCTTGACGCTGCCGTCAACCTCGTTGTAAAGGACCTCGGAGGCGGCGAAGCCCGGGTAGACCTCGACGCCGAGCTCCTCTGCGCGGTCGCCAAGCCACTTTGTGAACTGGTTGAGGGAGACGATGTAGTTGCCGTCGTTATGCATCTGGGGCGGGGTGGGGAGGGGGATGGAGGCGGTCTTTGTGAGGAAGCGCATGCGATCGCCGCCGGCCGGGGTGGCGTACTCGAAGCGGTCGGGGTTGTCTTCGGCGAGCCAGTCGGGTATGAGCTCGTTGATGGCGGTGGGCTGGATGACGGCGCCCGAGAGGATGTGGGCGCCCATCTCGCCGGCCTTTTCGAGCAGGAGGACGCGGAAGTCTTCGTTGCCGGCCTCGTTGGCGAGCTGCTTCAGGCGGATCGCGGCGCTGAGTCCGGCGGGGCCTGTGATGTTGCGTTTCGTCAGCCATGTTGCCCTTGTTAGTTTGTAGATGTACGGGGTGAAGCATTACCGCCGCCCACGATACAGACGTCGACCTGGTCTGATTCGCGCTCAATGGACGCGGGGTCGAAGTCCTCCTCCTCATCGCTGCGTCGTGGCCTGCTTGTCGTGAATGTGCGGGCGCCCAGGGGGCGGAAGACGGTGACGGAGGAGGAGGCAGCCCGTGTTGAGGGTAACCTGCTGGTCGGCGTTCTCCTGGAGGTTGTGCTGGAGAGGCATGCTGCTTGCGCTTGTGCGGGGTGTGTAGGGCGGTAGCGGCATCTTGAGAGGTTGCGGGTGCTGCGCTGCAGGCTCCTCGCGAGGGGCGAGGCGCTGCTCATCTTGACTGTTGTGCGGTTTGTCGAGCTCCGAGAGGAGGGGCAGTGGTGAAGGGGTAGATTTGCCCAAGTGTAATGGAGGGGCAGCTCTCAAAGGCGGGAGGCGAAGAGTCACGAGCAGCAGCTCCGAAGGCCTCGTCGTTGCTGTCGTCGTGGGTCGTTTCCAAGGCCGGATTCGTCGTTAGACCGTCTTGGGGTTGGTCGAGCTGGCAACGGACCACAAGCCGTCGGCGCAATTGAGTTTCTCGCTGGACTACGAAAGGCAGCTGTACCTCGGCAGAGTGAGGGCACTAATTAGTCAATTGAGAGGCAGTTGTGAACACTGAAAAGCGGCGGGACCTGCAGTTTTGGTCGTCGAGGGCAGCGCGGCGGGACACTTAAAAAACGGACTCGACCGGGGCCCTGCAGGAGGATAGAGCTTCTCACGTTCCTCTAATACGTAATTGGGGCAGAGGCGTAAATGGGGGAGGGGACCAAGATTGAATGACACTGCGACTGCGATCCCACCCACCCTCCAAGGGCCAAAACCAAGCTCGGGCCCTGGTTTCCGGTTGCTGGTGATAGCCGAGAGAAACCGGTCCTGGGGATTCTGGACTCGGACGATACTTCCGCGACGCAGCCAGGCGAGAGCCAAAGACCAGGTAGACGGCGAGTAAATCCTGCAAGCTCGTTTGGCAGCTGAAAGGTACCTCCGTACCAAGAGCAACGAACCGTGGACCGGGAGAAGCCGAGTTACTTGGAGTATTAACCGTCTGCAGCGCAGCGCAAAGAGAGGGCTGGGCTTGAAGGGCTAAGGTCTTTAGCTTTCTGGGGTCCCGGGCGGCCAACGTCCAATCAGGGAGCTCAAATTTCAAATTCCAGAGTGGGTTCCTCCGATGTCGTCTCGGTCACAGGGACAAAGACGCCGTCGGCGTAATGCTCGTTTTTGCCGAGATTGACGTTTGCAGATTGAGACTTGGGTTCGGCATCATGATTTTTTTGGCCGATTTCTATTACTACGAATGAGCTGTTTCTATTGCTGCAGGGCTTTGCTCTGCTTTGTGCGTGCAATACTACTGCGTCTACTTGTCCCCCGTCTTCTTGCTCTGAGTGCGCGTCGGAGCGACCTTTTCTGGCGATGACGGGTAACTTGGTGGCTCGTCTGATTGCTTGGTGCCCCAGTTGCTTTCTGTCGAACCCACTGTGAACTCCAGGACCCCGCCGTGGTAGAAGAAGTCGTGAGTGATCCAGTTTTTCGTGTACGGCTCCCCGTCCAGCGTCGCGCTCTGGATGTATATGCCCTCGGCCAGCTCTTTGGCGTTCGCGGCCACCTTTCGGATAACGGCGGGCTTGGCACCCCGCGATTTGATCCGGACCTCGGGGAAGAAGGGCGGGATGAGCAGGTACACGTCCTGCCCCGCGACAGGGAAGAATCCCATCATGGCTAGACCGCTGAAGGCACCCATGGCGCAGTCGTCATTGCCGGGGATTCCATTGATGCTGGCGTTGAACTGGGACGGGATGTAGCTCCGGGCGGTGCGGGAGCTAAGCCCGGGCCGGCCGGCGTAGTGGAACTGGAAAACGGTCAGGAAGCCCTGTTCGTTGCCCATGTAGACGATGTTACCGCCGTGGTAGTACTCCAGCCGGTCGACGAACGCGCCCCGACCGCCCATGAGCTCCATCAGCGTGTCGTGGTCCTGTGGCGCGAAGAACGAATACAGCCACGGAGAGCCCTCGTACGTCGACTGCCAGGTGTCAAAGTAGCAAAGGTGCTGCTCCGTGTTCGGTGAGCAGATGCGGGTGTT